CCACAGGGTCTGTTTTATCTAATAAAATGGCCAACTTCTGATTGCTTATTAGCAAAATATATATATATATATTAGCTTTATATGGCTGTCATTATGACATTCTAATAATAATGGGAATGACTGTGTGGTTGCAAAGCACAGACAGGGAAGTCTTGTGGAATAAACTTACAGTGCAATCGAGAGCAGAGGCTTGTATAGCAGAAAACCCAACAGGATAAGGTTTGTAGTACGTTATAAACTAGGGTTGGGTATTACCAGAGTATTGGAAAGCAAGCCTTGTTGTTGCTCACTTCCTGTTTTTTGCCATATCGTAGTAACTCTTTCACAAACAGGAAGAATAACTGCTATCAGTAACATGGGCTGTCAGGCTGAACATCATATTCATTAATGTATATAGTATGGTATCCTTACAATTGATTTAATAAATTAATACACTTTGTTTTTGAGTAACAGTTCACATTATGAGAGTAACAATTATTTTCTATGTTTACTTGCAATTTCTGTCTAAAAGTATGCCCCAAAATAAAATGTACAGCTTCTGTTTGTTTCTGCACATGTTTTAACCTGATAGAGCAAAAACATTAAAAAAAAAAAAAAAAAATAGTTGCAACTTATTCGTTGCAGGTGGTGGTGAAACAGTTGCAAAAACTGTTTCATTGCTGTTTCATTGTGAAACAGCAGGCAGAAACAGCATAGTTTTTTACACTCCCCACCATGCCCCATTGGGGTAAACTTCTCAACAGTCTTCACATTTTTCTCAAATTATAGGCAGGACTGAAGATGTTAAATGACACATTGTTAAAAACACCTGTACCACTATTTCCTACAAATGTTTGTACTGGTGCTGCTATCAACAGAGAATTACAGAGCTGACCCTTTCCCCAACATTAATGCATCAAGCAAGAAATGGAGAATGTCCTTGATGGTGTAGGGGGGGAATGGAGGCCAGAAAGGACAGTAGGGATTAATTTTGGGACATCTTTCCTAGACAGTTTCCTGGCTGTCCTAAAAGATGGCAGTTAGCAGAGTGCTGTAAGGCAGTGTTAGAGCTTGGCTCTTAAGCCATCAAGCCGGGCTTTTTAATTGGGGCTGGAGGATGCACTGTTATTTGACCTTCCTACTGGCAACCACCTTTTTTCCATTCTTAACTGCTGGATCATGGTGGGTAGGAGGAAAGGCAGAAATGAGGGAATGAAAAGCAGAGAAGGGCTAAACCGGATCATTTCAATGCATATGGAGTAGGCTGGTATAAGACTTGCTGTATGGAAATGAGAGAGGTTGTGAGTACACAAGAGAGTGCTTTCCTGTCTGAAAACAGCATGGCTGCAATAACAGTAATGTTTTTATTGCCACATGCTAAAGCATTGTGAACAGAGGAAAATTGGGGAGCTCTCAAGGGAAGGAGGAAAACTATGAGAGCCAAGTGAAAAATAAGAGAAAATGGAGTGGGAAATAAAGAACTGGAAAATTAAATTCCACCTTTCCAGTGGAAAGGGGGAAATAATGACAGTCACACCAGGGAAGATAGAGGAAATGAGAAGATGAGAGGAGCAAAGGACCAAGTGTCCTGAGATGTGCTTGAGAGTGCGAGGGCATCAGCCAGCCATCAGTCTCCTAGGGAAAGGGTGGAAGGAAAACCTTCCTTTAAAAAGCCTGGGGTCGCAAGTTTGATATTGCTCTCCCACATCTTAGTTTTGCTAACAGCTAGTAATTTCAGGAAGTTCTGGAAGCTTCTTAGAGATGAATGACCTGAAATGCAGCATTGATTGAGCTGCCCAGCGGCTGTCTCCCCCTTACCATAAACTAGGCCCTCAGGTGATGTGAATTAGCATAGTATCTGAAGCTAACACGGTCTGAGCTAGCTTGGTGGAAAAAGATTTTCAATGGAGATGCAGACCCCTTTGAATTGTAAGGGTAGGTATTCACATGCTTGTGATTGATCATAGTCATCTTTTGTTGACCCCTTAGATGCAGTCCGCAGACTCCTAGGGTTTCACGGACCACAGATTGAAAACCACTGCACTAGCCGCCCATCTGGCCCAGCATAGCACTGTATTTATTTTTGTGTCTCTGCAGCCTGTTGCAGCTCTCTCAGGTTAGGCCATACGTCTGATCCTTCATCTCCCACCTGCCTGAGCCCAACCTAGTATTTGCTTTTACCACCCGTTACATTTTACTGTAACTGAGCTAAGCTGAAGAATGTTGACAGGCTTCAGTTCATTTCCAGAGGTTTGATTACAGATATCTTAATAACAATATTTCATAGCTTTCTTGAGGCTATAACACATTGAGCACTCAACCTTATTTGTAGGATATTCTCAGCTACCTGTATTTATCTCTAGAGCAAATATAAAAGGCAACTCTGAATACTACATTTCTTTATACAAACGCTGCTGTTTAGAAGAATAAACATAATGTGG